CAATCTATTTTATATTTATGATGTTAAGGTCCATATTTATTTGTGAAAATAATTACCAACTGTAACGTTTTTTCTGATATGTTTGCAAATAGATCGACATTCTACCGTACTATTCATAATCTATTATTTGTATAATTGCTTATTGATAAAAACTCTAGAACGCCAATCATAATATTGTTTAAAAATTGTCTGTTAAAATTGTAATACATGTAAGTAATAAATTAAGTTTGATAATAAATTCTAATAATGGTTCATGGGTTGGAGACGTTTATTAGTATTAGTAGTATGTAGGACTTAATTGTCAATGGGAATTGGGAAGCAATCAACCTATTAAGAAGATCTCCATGTGGTCTACCTTGGATACTGTCTAATGAACTGGTTAACAGATTAATAATTGTCGACTGCATATGGACCAGAGGTAACCTGACATTGACGGACACTGCTGGAGTCAAGTCCCAACGCGAGTTTCAAGGCGTTTATGGCCCGGGACCCTCCGAACATGGTGCCTACCTTCATAAAGGATAACTACTGCCTGAAGGGGGTGGTGTATCGGCGCTATCGTGGTAGATTGCCGTCGTCAGAGCCGTGACCATAGAAACAATTTATATTTAAACTAATATTTCATATGTATGTTAGTCTATAAGGTATTTATAATATGGGCCATTAGTAGCCTGAGTTAAATAACTAAGATAAAATTAATAAAATAATGGTCTATTACTTTATAAATGATTAAAATGTTATACCATAAAAAATGCCTGTCTACGCATACTCGCTATACGAAAGGATGTTATTATTTATTTATTTACCAAAGGAAGGAAATAAGTTAAAGAGGAAATCGTGTTCTTGTAATCTTTCTCTGAATCAAAGAAAAAAACGGAGTGAATTTGTTATGTTCGATATTGTAAATTGAATTTGAAATATTAAATAAGAAAGTATGACTTATTTATTAAACGGCGTTTGATTCGTCGTGTAGGCAATTTCGGGACTTTTTACGAAGTGAACAATTTTATAATTTACTTTTTACATATATTAGCAATGATATTTTTTTATATAGATAGATTTTTGACAGTGGCATAAAATTGGGTGGTAAATGTTAATGGCATAAAGTTACTTGTTGGCTTGTGGTAAATTACGAATACAAACTACACGACACAACGGTAGGGAAAAAATATGAATACTAAAAATTTTACGTTCATAAGTGGCTACAATGTCCTACATGACTAAATTATTTTTGATTTGATTTAATTTATTACAAAAGACAGAAATCTGTGAATCACCTACCTAGTAAAGGGCTTGAAAAATCTAAGAATCCAATAGAAGACAGTGTACTAACAGAAATAGGAAGGAGACTGAAGTATGAGTATGAGTTAAAGGCCTTTGGTGCACCGTTTGTGTTTGTCTCCAATTTCACACACAACCACTAGTTATATATAAAATGTACTGCATACGTGTATTTATACAGATTTTCTAGTATTTTCTCTTAGTATATGATCAAGGTCAAACTCAGGTATTAATAATAATATTTTTACTTCAAAAGGGTTCACACGTTCACGCTGACACCGATTGGCGGGAAAATTTGAATTTCGAAATGGTTGAGGGAATGAAATAAATTGTTATGATTAGTACAAGAATACGAGGACAAGGAAAGCATGTATGAGTTCTTTTTTTTTTAACTACTGGCTACCCACTCCGGCTTCGCATGGGTGCATATAAACCTTCCGCATGAATCACTCTATCTATTAAAAAAAACTGCTTTAAAATCCGTTGTTTAGTTTTAAAGATTTAAGCATACATATGGACGATCAGACAGCGACAGCGACTTTGTTTTATACTATGTAATGATTCTTATACTGTTGGCATTAAATAGTCTTTGTAATAATATTAAAATAAACATGTATTATCCAACCAACTACATATTTTTTTGTACTTACTTACCTGTTACATAAAATATGCTAAGTACCAAAGTTATCATTTGTATGTCATTTCATTTATATCTGCTTAAACCAAAAACTAGCAACAATCTAGTATACATCCGGTTCCACCTACCTACCTACCACTTTTGTCAAATAGTGACAAGTCAACGATAGAAACGAACAAATAAGCTTCTACAACAGCAAAGAGATGCTGCAATAGTTTGCTATAAAGACACTCATAACTACGGTTTTAGTAGGTTCCATAGTACCGTACAAACATACATGAACAAATATGTAAGTTACAGTTGCTTTTTACATTCATGGACCGAAAATGAAGCGCACATTTTAGTGTATGTATTTAGTGCAACTTTTATAACCATTGCATGGATTAATAAAACATCTTCTTGTAATGAGACAGATTTTCAAATGACCTGTAGACTTAAAAAATAAGCATGACTATTCGAAATTGTTTAAATGAAGTTTATTTGAAAGTAGGTAATGTAATCTATAGTAAGCAAAAACTTTCCCTTATTCCTTTTTACAAAGATTACGCGAATACTCCTCCGTATGAAATTTCACATACTTATGGATTATATAGAGGATGTATGCATGTTGCATTTTTTTAATATGCATAAAATATACATTAAAACTATAACTATGTATACTCGTCTATATAGCAATAAATGTATATATTGATTCCACAAATTAATAAGCCATTCAGATATCAAAATATTACAAACAGATAAATATTCTGTAATATTCACAAATACATGATCATTCATGGTAATAATGTTAATAATATTGAGAAGTAGATGTGTACATTAAGCAATATATATCAAAATATCCAAGGCCAATTACATGTCATATTACACACAAAATTGTGTTCTTAAATTGAACATTGTATTATATCGGCTAACTCACTTTATGGGAACAGGCTTCATTTACATAATTTCGTAGATAATTTACTTGAATCTCTCTGAAGACGTGCCTCAGACCGCTCGAGTATTATATCTAAATGAGGTTCTAGCTCCTTAACACAGTGTTAGTTATGCATCAACAGCAGAAAGGTGTAACGGAATATAAATTAAGACTATTTAAAATATAATATATTATAAGCTATGTGTAAATAAATAGAATAGATTTTTTTAATTAAAGCGTCTAGTATTATGAACTAGTACGTTTTATACATTCTAATTCCTAAAATTTATTCAAAAGTAGGTTAATAATGTTTTGAATGTGATATTTCTACGATATGTTAACCAATTAATAGAAATTCTGACGTTTATATAATAAATTTAAAATATTTATAAGTAATATTGTAGAAACAATCTAAAATCTTACAAAATTATCTGATTGCATTAAGAATGAGTACGTAGCGGTTTCTATGTGGATTATTGCATGCCTCTTACTTATTATTGTTTAATTATTTATTTTAAATAACATCTATTCAAAAGAGCAACAGTTTTATGCTCATTCTTCTTGTCATAAATCTGCGTTCCGAATGAATGGTAGAATAAAAAAATATGTCTCTTCAAAAGTGCTTATATTGGGTTTATCGGAATAAAGATTATTTCTATTTCTTATATTGACGTTGTTCTTATAATGTTGACTAAGAAACTTTAGGCATATCTGGACTGCTTTATGCACTGTGCATTGATGCGGTCTGAATATTACCATATCGGCAACTTTAACGCTTGACCCCTTAAGGATCATTTTCCTATGCAACATTAAAAGGTCAACTGTGAACGTTAGTGATGGCTTGATCCACTTCAGTGCACCATATAAGATATAGTTAGACTCAATAAAGATACCAATAAATATGGTCCATGAATACGTATTTTATATCTATACTTGTCACTGTAAGATTTTCTTAAGATCAAGCTTAATTCAAGGAGATGCATATATCATCATTATTATTTGTACATTAAAAATTGTAAATAAGCTGACTTTTTAAAAAAAAATATATAAGAAATTAAATTGAGTTTTTGCCAGTTCTTCTTAATTAAATCTGTGACTGGACGGTAGGGTAAAAATATAATATAAAAAATTTGACGTACATAAAGGACTAAAATGAATAAATGATTTTTGAATTTGAATTTGAATTAAGAACAGAACTAAAGTCTCGAATTATAGACAGTCTGTAGGGGCTCTTAGATGTAAAGATAAAAGAGTTGTCGTTAACAAGCCTTCATTAAGACCCGCATATGACAAATATTTACTAAGACAGATAAGATTCCGACAATGTTGTATATTCATCACCATGTGGGACAAAACAAGAATTTTAATTTGAAAATTTGTCATACAAAAAACTGGTTCATTCGGACTACTCACTAAAAACTCCTTTTTTAATTTGCCACAAAATGAATTATTTATTTGTACGTACGTAGACGTTTTTTAAATTGAAATTATAACGTGTTCTTGATCCGATTGAAGTACAAAGACCTATTTATGATATTTCTAAAGGAGGTTTAGAAGGTATCAATCTAAAAAATCTCCACAGTGATATACAAAGGAAGTTCCATTGACAAATAATATTTTATATAATTTTGTGTTGTGTTATTTCTTTCGAATTTGCTGTGAAAAGAAATAAATTTGTACTTTTTTTAAATTATGCCAAATTATGTAAATTTTCTGTAACATTATTATTTTTGTATGTATTGTTGTAAGTATATTACGCCTTTTAATAATATATGGATTAGAATCATAAATACGGTTTACACATATGTTCATTTCATCTTGGTTGTAGTTATATATTCAGTATTTTTGTTAAATATACGAAATATACCGTAAAGGCTGGTTCTTTCAAGTATGTATAATTTTCAGATTTGCTATTTCTGCCTTATTTACTAAAAGGGAAAAAAGTGTCAAGTAAAGAGGAAATTGGCACTGTTTGCTTCAGTAGTCTTTTAAAGTGTAATTAAATTTATTCGTTAAATTAATTATGATTTGCTATCCAATCCTGTTTAACAAAAATAGGTAAATGACAAAATTCCTTTAAACATTTTCCTACTCTTGTTACATGAAATAGTTTTATCTCCTGTGTTCAAGTGTTTTGATACAGTTGGATGAACTAAACAAACTACTTACTGGTTCAGTGTCGCAGGTCTCCAAGTCTGGTATTGGGTCGTCTCCACAGTAATAATCTGCTTGGAGGAAAGGTGGTCTTGGCGGCGGAGGCAGCAGGAACTCTGGAGGTGGCCCTAAACAGTCACACTCCGTCAAGTCCGTGGGCTCCAATTCCCACATTTCGTTATAATCTAACTTATCACTACTCACAACCTTATCACTGTTATCACTATAATCACTAGTATCACGAATATACCGTCTCACTTCATCTGTAGTTCTTAATTTAATTATTTCTGCTATGTAGGTATCATCGTCAACGTCACCCCATACGTTCTTTCTGACTTCCTCATCTTCTTTGTCTAATTGATTATTTATATCTTGATTTAATTCAGTCGCTATAACGATGGGTGTGTCGATATTTCCAGTCTTATGTTTACTAACTTTATTATTATTCGCTTCTTCAATGACATCTTGTCTTGTGCGGATATCAGAATTAACTCTATTTAAGTCAGTTTGTTGATAACTTCTCTGTTTGTAACTGTTTTTATACAGAACATTTTTTTGTGTCCAAAAAGCGTACGGCGACGCTTCCGTAGGACTTCTTATGTATCTTTCGGCCATACGCAGTCTTCTTGTAAGTTATCTGTAACAAAAATAAACAAGGTTAATATATTATCAACATTTTTTTAAAGAACTTTTTGTAAGAATTCAATAAGATCTGGAATTCGATTGGTTGCAGTCAGCCCGATCAGTTGATCGTCCAAAAATGCACATGGGGCGAATAGTTGAGATATATTAGTATTTAAATCACATACAATTTCAATTCGATATTTGAACTCATCCGATTGTGTACCAAATCGTATCATGTGCAGATGCTTTAAGAAAGTACACTCTAATCTACATATTTTTATTGCAGAAAAGTTTTGACTAACAGTCCTCACTACAATATGCGTCGCTTGATTCAAGTAGTCCAACCACGTCGGTCTTATTATATTCAGCACATTATTCAAGCAGGCTTCTTGTACTTTATTTAGAAGCACAGTTATTTGACGTATGTTTTAAAGCTATCATTTCAACTAATATACATACCGAAGCATTGATATCAAAACATGAAGCATCACCGATTAATTTACATCTGATATATCGATCCCACTCTGACATCAAACTACTTATTATTTAATAGAAGAGCTAACACCTCATTTTGTATAACAAAGCCACCGCAATTAGAGAGTACCACGTTCAAGAGTACAATGGCTGCGGAACTAGTATCGATATCATCGACTTCTCGGTTTATTTTAATTTGTTTTTTATCGATTCAAATTGGACGAACGGGTTTAGTGCTATCACGATGTTCTCTGGATATTAAAGAAAGCATAAAGTTCATTTTATCGTTCAAATTTAGATCGTAGTCAATGTATTATATAATAATAATAATAATAATACTGGCAAGTATTTAAATAGTGATGTGGTATTTGGGACGGACAAACGATTTACTTGTTATAATTATAATGAACAGATATTAGTAAAGGAATTTGATGCTATTATATGACTAATGTCATCTATAGCCACAATAATAATAATATCTCAGGACAACTCAAACAGCGCGACTAGTGTGACTAGACCAAGCTAGGCAGAGCTTATGTTATAGGTACTAGACAACTAACATATATATAGAAAACATCCAGACTGATACAGACAATCATACTCATGTTTGTACCGTGCGAGAAATTGAACCGGTGATCATCAAAAGTAAGTCGGTTTGGTAAATCACTGGACTATTGTGGCCATCGATTTCGAAAACATACTATGTCGAATTAAAGTAGTATCCAATCTCTTTTGACATATATTTTCAAATTAATAACAACTCTTATTACCTTAAGGTAGGTGCATAAAAGCTATATTTAAAGTTCGTTTTATCCTAGTCAATGGTTGATAACGATTTCTCGTCCATAAAATATTTAAATTTATAACAGTAGAATAGAGATTAGAAGATGTACCGAGACGTTGAGGTCGGTAGGTCAACAAGTGATGAGTGATCATGAGTACTGTTTTAGCATACAAAACGATTGCTATTGGGTTGATTTGACATTGGTATTCACTTTTATCTTATAGATAATTACCAGTCCTTATAGATAAGATCCAGTCGACTTCGACACACATCCATTACAAATCTTTAAATTTCTCGACTTGTTCTAGACTATAACGCACATGTATTATATATAAATCTTTCTCTTGAATCACTCTATCTATTGCTGAAAACTGCATTAAAATCCGTTGCGTCATTTAAAGGATATAAACGAATAGATAGCGCCGGCGACTTGTTTTACACTATGTAAATATGAGTGAGTTAGCGACTTCGCAGGGGTGGTAACTGCGAAGCCTGACCCTTTAACAAAATGGTCCTTTGAAGCGTGTCCAGGTCAGCCCCTTCAATTCTGGCGAATAGGACACGGGTGTCAATTTATAACGAAAACTAACCTTCAATTCATAAACTGTATCAATTAAATTGTATGTCATAGAGGTTTAAATAACAAAACAATGTCAGGACAATTCGCACAGCTCCATCTAGTCCCAAGCTAAGTAGAGTTTGATTTCTGGGTTCAAATTGTGTTATAATAATATATGATACAAATAATTATACCCATGTATACAAATGTTTGTACCGTGCGAGGGAATGAAACTGCGACCAGCTAAAGTAAAACGGTGTGATAAACCGATAGACCACCGTCGTTTATTTATGCATTTGTTGTACATGTAAACCTTTTTAAATAAATTCTCGAAATGTTAGTGACAACCGCATCAAAATCCGTTGCATTTACCATTTCGAGAAATAGTCCAGACTGATGAAAACACCGACTTTGCCTAAGTCGGTGTTATTATGTTAACATAGTTTGCAATATATTTTTGATACAATATCAAAGAAAAAACTAACACCCCCAATTATTAGTCCGTACTAATATTTGAAATACGTAAAATGATCTCTGAAGTATCATATTATACTGAATTTCATTTCTATTGATAACATCGAAAATGTTTTTAGTTAGACACAAGAACCATTAAAACATTTTAATCAATTTTGAACCTTACATCAACGGACGCGTTCAGACAAGTATTATAGGGCGCTGTCTCATTAACATTTCGGCGGGCTCTCGATACCTGTCAGCGGAGACCTGGCACCGGCACAATGCTGTATCGAGGACCCTTGTGTCTGTTAACGAACCCATTCTATTGGTTTCTCACGTGAACGCTCGTGAAAATATTTTGCGGGTCTCTAACTCATATAACCTCGGTGGTCTAGTGGTTTAGCACGGCGTCTTATATCCGATGGTCGCACGTTTAAATTTCTCACACGATTTTAATGATGTATGAGTGTTCGTAATAGTCTGAATATTCGCCATGTTTACTAAGCATAAATATACATAAAAAAAGTATTTGATTCTCTGCTTAGCTTAGGACTAGATGGCGCTACGTACAATGATAAAAAAAGTATATGTGTCAGTTGTATAGTATTCATAAGAGAAGCTCTGCTTAGCTTGGTACTAGATGGCGCTGCGTATAAAAATAAAATAATTCTAAAATTTCAAATATTATTTATTTTCTTACTAGGTATACAGTTAAAGAATTTCCATTGTATATTAATATTCTGTGCGCACTATATGTAGGTACAAGAATAGTAACTCATGCGTAAAATCTTGATCTAAAACGTGCAAGCACTACACCACTGAGCCTTTTTGATATGAAACGAGATAATTTATCAAAGCAATGCTTTTTGTGTAGACTCGTGCATAAAGTTATTCATTTTAATGCTATATTTTTTTCGCAGCGCCACAGTCACAATCTGTGTAGTTGACAACAAACGCACATACACTCATATAGTAGTATAATAAAAAGTATGATATATCCATTTTATTATAATAAACAATAATAAATAACTTTGGATAATTAACACGCGCCATCTAGTCCCACGGTAAGCAGAGTTTGTGTTATGGGTACTACTGACATAAATACCGATATATTGTTTTTAAAAAAATACAATTCTTTGTTATTAAAAAATAACAAAGAATTGTATTTCAAATTAGTTTGTTAGTGCTAAAAATGACGATAGCTATATGCTCTATAGGGCCGTATATTACAATATATAACATATATCCTAGAATTATAACATGTATAGAATTTTTTTTTATACGTGGTGGTGGACATAATTATATATTTTTACAAATATTTTTATTTTACGAAAATATATCTACAAGCGATATGGCAAAGTGTTACCGTTTATAGATCTCAATTACATAAAGAAAGATGTCATTCTGACATATACTGTAATTACACTGCTCTATCTCAGCTGACATACAGCTTAATTCAATTCAGATGCCAATCTGCTTACACAAATTTTCACTTAAGGCTACCTCAGTAAAATGTCAAAACTGCGATTAGAAAGTGTTACAATAATAAGAGGAGAATTTCTTCTTTTTTTACGTACCGAAATTGTGAGATTTTGTAATATTTGAAGTACAGTAATCAAGTGCATGTTTTAATATGTTTTTTAGTATTAAGGAATTTTTTTACATGTACAAGATAATTTTATTTGTCGACATATTTTAATATAGTGGTGCCCTCAGATTAAAGTCTTATCTGTCAGGCGGGAGTTGGCCTTCAGCCGCTCCATAAGTCCTTCCGCGGGTTTGGAGTGCCATCTGTACTCACTGTCGTCTGGTGAAGCTGTAAAGGCCAGCTGACAACAGCATTAGAGTAGTCCGAAAAAAAAATGTAAGCCACGGCATTCGGTCGAGCAAATTGTGTTAGAGACATAGTCTATTATTACCCGCAGTTGTTATGTCATTAAATACATATATTTACCACTACATGGAGTTAATTTTATTATATACTAACTACTCGCCCCGGCTACGCCCGGGTGTACATGTATTATACATATAAACCTTCCTCTTGAAGCACTCTATCTATAAAAATAAACCGCTAAAAATCCGTTGCGTAGTTTTATAAAGACTTAAGCATAAATAGAGACGGACAGACATCGACAGCGATTTTATTTTATACCATGTAATGAAGACCTACTTGTAACACTGTATTCAGTAAACAGATAAATAATAAAATAATTGAAATCTGTTTCATAATGCACAACAGGCGGGCAGGTATCTTTATAATTGATCAATACAAATACGAATTAACGCAATCAACAGTTAATTACTATTCGCCGCATTGCTGCAATCCGATTGTGTATAAATTAAAGATTAGGTGGTCTACATGGAATTTTAATGAATCGCATAATTTAATATTTGTAAGGGACACACTCGTATACCCGTATAAAATAATAATAAAAATAATAATTTATTGCAATCTTAGTTTGTTATATAGTTAAGTTGTACATAATAGTGAAAATACATTACATTACAAATGTATATACATTACATTACATATACATACACTAGCTTTTACCCGCGGCTCCGCTCGCGTTAATTTATCCTTTTGGGGTTAGAATTATTCAAAATAATTTCTTAGCGGATACCTACGCCATAACATCTACCTGCATGCCAAATTTCAGCCCGATCCGTCCAGTGGTTTGGGCTGTGAGTTGATAGATCACTATGTCAGTCACCTTTGGGTTATATATATTTAGATTTTGTA